CCATGGTCAGCACCTGTGGAAATTCTTTTGATTATTAATAAACGGCACTAGCCTTGCATATTAAATGTGACATGCCTTTTTCGTTTCCACTCCACTGCACTTCATTTTTATAGTTAGTTACCTTTTATTTTAAACCCCAGCTGAATAGAAGCAATTAAGTTCCTCTTAAATGATTTGATTTTTTATTTATTGTTAGAATGTTTTCGATTCTCTTTGTTAATTTAAACTGAACTGTTGATGAATATAAATATTGTATAAATATTAAATATCTACTTTTTAAAACCATTTAATGTCGATCGTTTTGCCATACAGTGTATTGCCCTGGGAAAGGCCAAGCACTTTCAATTTGAAACTTTGATATATTCATGTTTCGAACTATTAGTAATTTTTAAAAACGTGAATTGAGTGACTGAATAGCAAACTACTGTTATCTTTTAATATTAGATTCATCAATGTATCTTGGATCTTCATTATTCTTGTCCACCTCCCTCGCCCCAAGAAAGGATGTTGAAAGGGAAGTAATTCAGAGTGTAGAATACTTAGATAATTTAATAGAATACAAATGTGAATTAAATGAAAAAAACTGAAGAATTAAATTTTGAAGTTAATACAAGTAGTATTTCTGGTCTGACTGAGGTTACAAATAGTACCGTCTTAAATTGTACACAATCTGTCTCAAAATAATGAAATGGATTATATCAAATTGCCCAAGTGAACGGTTAATAAATTTTTTGACAATTCTTCGCAGTGGTTAGAATTTATTTGGTGATTTGAAATTGCTATTGATAAAAATCCTTATTTGAGTAAAGTTGAAAAATTAATTTATTTACAAAATTTCCTTGGAGGGCTGTAGCGAAAAATATTTCCACCTTAGCATTAAATGAAGAAAATTATCACGCAGCCTTAAAACTTTTGGGATATAGTTATGAATAAAATAATATTCTAATTAATTCTCATTTAGGAGTGTTTTTAAATATATCTCCACATAAGAGTTCTAGCAACATTGTTGGCTTAAGAAAACTGTTTTATCATGCTGGGATTCAGATCAGAAATTTACAAGGGTCATTCAAGGTTGACCAGGATTTTTGTACATAAATAATTGCTGAATTGCCGGATCATGATAAAACTTACAGGTGACGTAACGTACTCCTTTTTGAGTAACTAGTGCCCAGCATGACATATTTGACGTATGTGCAGTCATTGTAGCAAACATGGCAGCAAGCAGTGTGTCTGTGGCTGTGGAGTGTAATCAAATTTCTTGTGAAGAAGAAAGTTAAACCAGCTGAAATTTTCGGAATATTGTCAGCACAGTATGGTGACCAAATGATGTTACGGACAAGAGTCTACGAATGGTGTGAATAGTTTCATGAAGGACAGGAGTTGGTGACAAATGAAGTGCATGGACATATTTGTCTGACTGCAGTCACACCAGTAAATATCATACATGTTGAGCAAATGAATCTTGAGAACTGGTAAGTAACAGTGGGGGATATTGCTGCTGAGGTGAATATCAGTGTCGGGAGTGTTGAGACAATCATTCACAACCACTTACACTTCCGCAAAATCTGTGCAAGGTGGGTTCTCTGCGCCAGTTCACATTTGATCAGAAGTGGTCATGCATGACAGTCTATAAACAGTTTCTGAACCGGTTGCAAGCCAAAGGTGATGAATTGTTGCAATCCATCTTCACGTGTGATGAAACATGGTTGCACAATTCAACCCCAGAGACCAAAAGAAGCAGCATAAAGGTTCCCCACCGCCCAAGAAAAGCAAAACACAGCTGTTCGCTGAAAATATCATGGCAAGTGTCTTCTGGAATGTAAAAGGTGTTATCCATGTGGATTTTCTGGAAAAAGGGAGCACAATTAATGCCCTGTATTACTACACATTGTTGAGTGGTGCTGTATGAAGTCCATTCGCAAGAAAAGACCTGAAATGTTGTCTGGAAATGTCATTCTCCATAACAACGCCCACCTTCAAACGGCCAATAATGGGACAACATCTCTGGCCGAAATGTGCTGAGAAGTTCTGTCTCATCCCCCCTATAATCTAGATTTAACCCCCAGCAATTATCATTTGTTTGCACCCCTTAAAGACCATCTGGGAGGGAAGAAATTCATGACAGATGAAGCACTACAGAACGATGTCCTCCAGTGGCTACAACATCCAAGTTCTTTTTACGCCAAAGGAATCGGGGGAACTGTCGCAATGTTGCCTTGACGGACACGGAGAATACTTTGAAAAGCTGACATAGTTTGGTGGCTTCCTGTGCTGTGTGTTTCCTCTGAAGAAATAAAAGTCCCGGTCAAGCTTGTACGACCCTTGTAGAAGAGTTGGGAACAAATTCATATGTAAACCGACTTACACCAGTTCTTGTAAAAATCATTATACCAGCAGATTTTGCATCAGAATTTAACAGATTAATTAAATCTAAAAATTAAGATCTGAAAGTTTGACTAGATTTTTTTTTGAAGGATGAAATACTTCGTAGAGAAAGCAAGCTAACATCTTATCGGCAATATTGAAGCTGCTTCAAAACAAATAGAAAAAAGTTTTTTCATGCTGTTGCTGTTTGTGTTCTCTAAATCAATGTGCTTTGCCATTCAGAAATAGGGGGAAATTTTTTTTGAAGGATGAAATACTTCGTAGAGAAAGCAAGCTAACATCTTATCAGCAACATTGAAGCTGCTTCAAAACGAATAGAAAAAAAGTTTTTTCATGCTGTTGCTGTTTGTGTTCTCTAAATCAATGTGCTTTGCCATTCAGAAATAGGGGGAAATGCCTTTTCAAACTGAAATACTGAACATTTGTTTCTTTGCTACTACAGTCAAATACCGAAAATCCGCCGACCTGAAATCCACCAACTCCTGAAATCCGCGTTGCCTCTCAGAATATAAGCATTCCGTTTATAGGTTCCGGAAACCGCAACATTGAGTATGAAATATCGAAGAAAAAAATACTTATCGAATAATGACGTCATAATTACCGAATAATAATGAGTCAAAACGGAAATACCAAATTATTTATATAAAAAAGTTTTAAAAAAATAAGATAAAATAAATATGATAAGTTCTTTTTCCCTCTAATCTGCATCGAGGTAAAAAAGCAGACGATTCACTCGACTCTTTGTTCAAGTTTACCGTTGTATTTTCTGAGCTTTGTTATTTCATTTCACGAGATTGTATAGTGCTGCCTATTTTTTATCCGGATATTTTGTGGGTAAGTTAAGAATATTTTTAATTTCAGCCCTTTTTAATACAATCACGTATAAGAAACGCACTCATGATTTTACTGCTTGCAACTTTGAAAACCATAAACACGTTGCATCGACGGGAACGCAAAAAGTGCACATTCTGCAAAAGATGGAAGCAGATGCTACTCCTCGATTTATAGCAGAATGGTGTGGAATTGCTACATGATTGTGTATGATATACGGAAAAATAAAGAAAAGCTGTTGAAACTTTACAGCAACAGTGATTCTAACACCGGAATCCGAAACCGGAAATCTTTGCATGAGGCGAAATCAATCGGCAAACCTCGATGCTGTGTACGTATAATACAATGAATAATATAATCAATTTATATATCTAATAATAATTTAATGCATATGATAAATTACTGCAATAATGTATATAATAATTTAATTTAATGTATCTAATATGCCTTATTCATTTTGCACTTTTAGTCCAAATATTATGCTTTATCTTTTCTTTCCTGAAATCTGCAAAATCCTAAAATCCGCACAACTTTTGGTCGCAAGCTTTGCGGATTTCTGGAATTCTACTGTATTTCAAAATCTATGACAACCTGACCATCCTTTTAACAAAATCTTACTTGATGTTTGATTGCGCATTTCAAACACAGCCATCTTGTGTGCCTCTTCCTATTTTTTCTGTGCTCTTGGTCACTGAGTGAAGAATATTGCCTAGCCAGTTTGAATGTTCAAGCAGCGTATTCAATGTCTTTGGGAATCTTGCCTTGGGAGAAAATGGAAATTCGGGCTCTGGATATCTCCTACAAATTTTATATAAGAAACAATGAGATCATCTATAACCAACTTTTTCTTGCACATAGACATAAATACAAGAACTAAATTGCCCATATTTACATATGGGTCGAAAGCAGCGAGTCATATTTCAGTGTCATTCATGATTTAAATCTAAATGGAGCGTTGACATTTACATGCTGGTTACTCAGTTTTCATTTCAGAGGTAACTGCTATTTTATCATGCCCTTTCATGCATTTCCATCTCGAAATGCCAAATGTAAATATGAATTTAAGGATCCATGGATACCAAATTATACCAGACACATAAGAATTAAAGGTAACAAACTGCACATTTTACAGCAACGTCTGCAGTTGCCAGATCAAATTATTTTTTAAAATGATATCAACAAAGTAATCTAGCAGAAAGTCTTGAACAAATGGCAACAACTCTGGGATGTTCAGCTTAATAGTAAGTTGAGAAGCTTGAAACATAGAGTGGAATATTGGGAGGTTACTAAAAAGCAGGAGAAAGAAGTTGTGTTAACTCATCTCAGAATCAGTTACTCCCATACCACTCACAATTGTTTTCTGAAAGCAGACATTGAGCCAATATATCCTAACTGTAATAGTGTTCTGGCCATAATGCCATTTTTTTAATAGTGTCAGTGTTTTATCACACCTTGGCTGAAGCAATTTTAAAGAGTGTGACTTGCCTCTTGGCCATGTAACTGGAAAAGAGGTCAATACCAGTATATTTCTCTACCTGAAAGATACATGCCGTTATTTAATTTTGTGTAATTTTGCAGTTGTGTCTTTGTAGTTTAATACTATGTATTTTAAATGGGTCTTTTATTTTATTTTATTTTTTTTTTTATTTATTTTTTTTATTTACATTCATTATCTGAGTTGTTCATCTCTGCTGTCATCTTTTTATTATTTTGATTTTATAAGTATTTTACATATAAGTTGTTTGGAAATATCCAACATGTGTTCGGCACATATAACATTTCAGGTTTTGCGACAGGAACTCCATTACCACCAACACCACCACCAGGTTTCACATTGTTTCCATCTGCTACTGCTGATGATACTCAAAGACGTAGATTTTTTATGGATTCATCTGCAAGCCATAGAAACCGAGATAATTCTGCTAGGGTAAGCAGGAAGTTCTACAAGTATTTTAAATATTTGAATTCTATTCAACTTTTCTTTGAGTGTGAATGATATCCTTTATTTATTTTGTATGCTTGGGTTGCTTCTAAATTGCATATCCATCTCAGTTTTGTTTTTATATTTAGACAGAAAACGGTGGAAGTCAGATGAATAGTTCTCCAGAGTTATTTACTATTCCTCTACCAGGTCGCTTTGAATATGATTATGAGACATTTGAGAGCCTATTTCAGGTAATTATTTTAATGTTCTTTTTGCAAGTTGTGTATTCCCCCCCCCCAAGATTCCAGATTTGATTAAAGATGTATTGCTACAATGATTAGCTTTGGCATTAGAAACATTTTTGTAAAATTTGTCCAATTTCTTTGGACATCATGTCATTCCTCTGTGTCATCTACAAAGATCTGCAGATTTGCTATTCTGAGCTAAAGGTTTTTAATTTATTTTTACCATGACATAAATGTATGATTAATCTGTAAAATACGGTAAAAACATATACATGTTATCCAACTTTCATCTGCTAAGAATCATCATTGAATATCATTCATTATTCATTTCATCATCGAAGATACCATTAACTTTAATGAAACTGTTCTGGCTTTATATGCAAAACTCATGTTTTAATATATATATATATATATATATATATATATATATATATAACCTTTCTTTCCTCAAAGGCACCAAAAACTATGCTATTTGGTGATTATTGCTATATTCTGTATTTTAAGTTGATACTTTTAGCACAAGTTACTATTCAAAGTTATGCTCCTTATCACATCAAAAACAAGTATTCCTTCTTTTTGAAGCATGAATCTTTTGTTATTCATATTTAAATCTAGCAAATTATCAACAATCTGGTGATTTAGAATCAGCTTGTTAACAGAAATTTTCATTTTGGTCTTGCATGCAAAATTTTAATTTTGCGAATTTTGTGTTTTTTTTTTTTTTTTTTTTTTTCTTTCCACGAAAGGGGTATCCCCCAATAATCTAGGAAAATTAAAGTTTTTAGTAAAGTTGTAAGATTCCTATCTTTTAAGTTTGTGATGACTTCGTGGTTTAACAAGGCACCATTTAGCAAGAGAAAACAAACATTTATTAAATATATGATTCAAAGCATAATATAATAGTGACTCAGAGCAGTACGTCGCTCCTATCGCACGGTACAATCTACTACCTTTTTCTTCCGAGGATAACATGCAACTCTTAATAAATACATTAACCCTTCTCGGAGAAGAGCTAACTGCGTCAAGGGCGCTCTGTTGATCGCCAAACAGTTGCCAGATATCACACCCCCGTCGTAAGATTGTTGTTGATATTATTTACAAATCAATCATCAGCAATCTGGAAACTAAAATCTAGCAACTGTTTGCGATCAACGTGAAAAAGAAAAGAAAAAAAAAAAAAAACTACATATACTTTTATACATTCTATCCTAATTTTCAAATCTCAATTACTATAGATATTTGCAATAATACCTACAATTGCACTCAATTTACTACATAAACATATATAAACATAAATAACACATTTTTATATATAAACATAGATAAATCATTTTTAACTTCACTTGTTCCGAACCTTATTATTATTGTAACAATTTATCAATTCTTAATTCAAAGAAACCAAGTTGATATTTTCTTTTATAAACATGTTAAAATATACCCTAGTATTATTCCAATGATGACAGTAAAATTATTAAGTTTCTTATATATATATATAAAATTATATTCTTAACATTCCTTTTAATTAATGATGCTGCAGCATGATTTAAATCCTTGGGAGACAAATATCTAAATTTACCACTTACCTCGAATATTTGTTATCCAATAATTTCTCTATCTATTTCAAATTACATAAACATCTTATTTGCACAAAATTGTAAAATGATTATGAAAAGCAAAGAAAACTATCTAATTATTAACTATACAAAATGTTCGTGAAGATGAACAGTAAATTAATGTTCAAAGTTCACAAGGTGGGAAGTCTGGATAATGCATCCGCGTTTGACAGTTTTTTTCCAGGGCAATGTTCTATTTCGAGATTATATTTCTGCAAAGCTATGGCCCATCATTTGTAATTTGGACGATTGCGGAGCATTTCTCACTATAAAGGCTAGAGGATTATGATCAGTCACAATTTTCACCGATGAACCGAATATCCAAGGTTCAAACTTCTTCAATGCCCATACTATAGCATAAGCTTCACGCTCTATAGTCGGCCAGCTCTGTTGAGGTTTCGATAATTTCTTGCTCGCGTAGCAGATGGGAAATTGCTTCTCTCCCCTTTGCTGTGATGACAAACATGCACCTATTCCGATTTGGGATGCATCAGAATGAATGACAAACGGATCCTGCAGTGTTGGGGTGATCAGCTCCGTTGACATCGCTAATCGTTCCTTCAGTTGTTGAAATGTTGACTCATGAATTTCTTTCCATTCGAGTATTTCCGGTTGTTTATTTTTCGTGAGTTCTGTGAGTGGGTAGGCGATCTCTGCATACCCTGGGATATAATCGCGATAATAATTACATATAGTCCTAACAGACTTTTAAGATCTCTTTTCGTTTTCGGCGTTTCCAGCTTCTTGATTGCCTCTATTTTCTCGGGATCTGGTTGATGTTTTCCTGATCCAATGATGTGTCCTAAATATTTAATTTGAGGTTTTGCAAACGAACATTTCTTCGAATTGATAGTAAATCCAAGTGACTCTAGTTTGGTGTAAAAACTTTATCCAGATGTTCGGAGATGAGTGTCGAAATCCGTGGAAAATATAGCTATGTCATCAATATAGGCTCTTGAAAATTGTTGAAATTCTTTCAGCGCGTTATTCATTACTCTCTGAAAAGTTGCTGCTGCTGCGTTCCTTAATCCAAAGGGTAGCACTTTAAACTGATATTGACCTCGATGAGTTTTGAACGATGTGTACTCTTTACTTTGTTCCTCCATGGGAATTGCCCAATATCCTTTCAGCAAATCTAAAGTTGTTATGACGTTGGCTCTTCCTATACTGTACATTAAATCAATGGCATTTTGCATAGGAAAGTCATCTGGCTTCGTCACTGCATTCAAAGCTCGATAATCTAAGCACAATCTGATATCTCCATTTTTTTTGCTTACACAAACTACTGGATGAGCTATTTCTGCATTACTTTCTTCTATTAGTCCCGATTTCAATAATTCTTCTACTTCTTCATCGACCTTGGGTTTCAATGCTTCAGGAATCCTATAAATGTAAGGTTTCTTCCTCTCCATATTGGGTATTAATCTAATTTTATGAGCTTCAACTTTAGCTATTTTCAGCTTTCCGGTGAATAGTGCTCGGTGTTTGTTGATAAGAGCTATCAATTTTCTTCTCTGCTGCGGATTCAAATTTTCTAAATTCAGATTTGCATCTATTTTAAAATCTTCCAGGGGGGTCGAGAGATCTTTTCCTGGTAAAGTTATAATTTCTCCAAATTCTTCTTCATTTTCAAATATCACTCCAACTGCATTGACACTAGCTTGGAATTTTCTAATTTTATTTGCATGAACATGTTTGATCTTTCCATCAGGTAGTTTTACTTTATAGGAATGAGGTGGGCAATGATTCACGATTTCTCCTGGACCAGTCCATCGTGCATAGAGTTTGTTATTTGAATCTGGTATGAGTAAATAAACTTGTTCTCCGATTTTGAAATTTTTTGGTATTGATCTCCGATTAAAGTACTCAGCATATTTTTGTTGTTTATCACTTGCAATTAAATTGGCTTGTTCGGCTGCTTGTTCTAACCTTATTTTTAAAAGTTGTAAGTAATCCACTGCCGATTCACTTAGATTAGGTGGTATAGGTATTTCTCCTGACCATGAAGACTTCAGTACTGCTAAAGGACCTCTTGGTTGTCTTCCATACATCAGCTGAAATGGTGAGACACCCGTGGTGCAGTTTGGTACTTCTCTGTATGCAAAGAGCAGGTATGGGATGTGCTTATCCCAATTCGAAGGATCAGTCCTGATGACATGATGTAACATTTGCTTGAAGGACTTGTTCCATCTTTCTACTAATCCATTTGAAGCACTGTAAGCAGGTGTAGAGAACCTAGGGTGAGAACCTAGTCTTTTCTGGAATTCTTTAGTTAATTTTGAAACGAAGTTACTTCCGTTGTCACTAGCTATTGTATTAGGGATTCCTGTTCTCATGAAAATCTCCAAAAGCGCGTCGCAAGTGGCTTTTGCTGTCAAGCTTCTCAGTGGAATGGCTTCTGGCCATCGGGAATGTTGATCTACCAGACATAACACATATTTATGTTTCCTAGCAGAGGGAGGTTCAATAGGTCCAATAATGTCGATGTTAACTGTTTCGAAAGGTAATCCTGGCCTTCTGACCGGTGTGATGGGAATCTTGTCAGATCGCTTTTCTGGACTTTTCAACTGACAATCTTTGCACGTTTTACAAAAGGTTTCAACATCTTGTGCTAATCCAGGCCAAAAAAAATGAATATCGTATTCTCTCCTTCGTTTTTCTTATTCCAAGATGGGCACCGAAAATGGAACTATGTGCTAATTCCAACACTTGTGCTCTTCTACTAAGTGGAAGCACTAACTGAAAAACATTCTGTCCTAATATTTTTTCTTGGTGATGTAAAAGATGATCAATAAATAAATAATTTCCTTTTTTTTTTCTATTGCTAGCTTCCATGCTTCTCTCAGCGAGGGACAGTTAACTTGCTCTTCGCGTAGGCGTTCAGCAGACGATAAGTCTGTGTTTACATAAACACTCGCCTTCTTCCCCTTCCTCCTCTTCGTTTTTCTCCTCCATAAGCATTAGCGGGGGGGGGGGGGAATCGACGCTGTCGTTTGACTGTGCATTGGCGAATAAAGTTTGTAAGTTTTCGCTTCCGTAATTATTTCTTTCTGCGTTTGGTTCTTCTGCCGCAGGATTAATCAACAGTTCGTATATTTCTGGAGTTATTAGGCAAGGCACATTTAGCTTATCAGTCACTGCAATTAATGTATCCACAAAATTAAATATATTGCTTCCATGATCTTTATGGTAAATAGGTACACGGCAAACTTTTGCTTCAATTGGTTGTCCGAAAGCAGGTGTTAGCAATATTTTACCTCCTTCTCTCTCCTCTAAATTTGGAATGAGCGATGAATGTACGATCGTTATCTGCGTTCCAGAGTCTACGATAGCTTCGATTTTCTCAGAGTTAATAAAAATATCTACTTTTTGCAGTGGTTGAACGATGCGTTCTGCGAATTCAGATCGTAGATGGGATGATGAGTCTACTTTAGCTACGATGGCTTCTTCTTTTGATGTTCTGTTTGAATTTTTTTGAGTTTTGGAATCATCCTTTCCCTTCTTATTTACTGCAGTTTCGTTCTTTCTTCTTTTGTCTGGGCAATCTCTCGCGATGTGTTGATAATTTCCACAAATATAACATTCTTTTCTTCTCGCGTGAAGATCTTTCGTGTTTTGGATATTCTTTTCTCATGGGTGGTGGAATATATTTGTCGTGTGCACATGTTGTATCCAGGAATCTCGGTGATCGCTTAATTCCATTTCGAACTTCGTCGAAAGATTTTCCTTTGGCCGTGAAATAAATATCACATTCTGTAGCTAATTCTTGAGGCTTCAGCCATTTATTTCCTTGGCGTATTGCGACGTGTGCAGCTGTTTCTTCATCTAAAGCTTGGAATAATTTATCGGAAATAATTAGCTCCTTGAGTGTTTCAAAATCCTTTACTTCTCTTGACTTGCAGTAATAGTCCCATGTAGCTGTTAGTCTTGAAGCGAACTGGATATGCGTTTCGCCGGAATAACGTTTAGTTCTTCTGAAGTTTTCTAAACAGGTTTGAGGAGTAGGTTGATATTCCTTCAGAACAAGAGTTTTCACTTTTTCGTAATTTTGCAGATCTTCCTCCTTTATATAAACAAGAACATTTGAAGCTTTTTCTCCAATTAATTTCAATAATATTTCTGATTTGTATTCTTCAGGAACCTTCTTGTGCTTAAATGCTCTTTCGATAGAATCGAAAAATATATTCCATTCTTCTGCTCTCTTCGGTACTGGTATAGTCAGTGTTTCTACTCCTTTGATCAGCTTGTCCAGGGAAATTTCGGTTTCTCGTTCTGTGTTTTGGATTAAAGGTGTTGGACTTCTACTTCCTTCATTTTGAGTTGCTCGAATCTTCGCTAGTTCTATTTCGTGTTCTCTTTCTGTTCTTATTCTTTCTTCTTCCATTTGCATTCTTTCCATTTCTTCTTTTCTTTTTCTATTCTCCACTGTAGTAATCAGAATTTCTTTCACGAAATCAGCATCTTCGATGTATTCCTTGCTATTCTGGAGTTTGTGTTTCAGTTCTACCAGCTTCAAATCTGGGGATGCTTCTTCGCCAATTTCCAATAGAACTGTTACTAAATCCTCTTTCTTTGCGTTTTTGAACATTTTCTTCTATTTTCCTTTAGAATCAAGCCTTTCAAACTCTCGATTAAATAATTCTCACGTTTTTACTCTCTTTTGCAAATGAACACTTCTTTCGTTAGTTAGGCTTAACTTTACGCCTCTTCCGTTTTCAACGCTCTAAGCTTCTAACCTCTCTGGTTTTCTCGTAAGAGAGCGTGTTGTGATGACTTCGTGGTTTAACAAGGCACCATTTAGCAAGACGAAACAAACATTTATTAAATATATGATTCAAAGCATAATATAATAGTGACTCAGAGCAGCAGTACGTCACTCCTACCGCATAGTGAAATCTACTATCTTTCTCTTCCGAGGCTAACATGCAACTTTAATAAATACATTAACCCTTCTCGGAGAAGAGCTACCTGCGCCAAGGACGCTCTGTTGATCGCCAAACAGTCGCCAGATATCACAAAGTTGAGAAACCTTAAGAACTGATAAGCGAATAATGGCTTTATTTCGGTAGACAAAGAACAGATACTCAAAAAGGGTTAAATACCCTTTATTATTCAAAATAAAATTCACAGAAGACTCTTTCTTGGAGGAACAGCAAAGCTATCAAGGGCCTAAAGTACGGCCGAGTGTAAAAATACCTTAAGGGAGATAGTAGCCTAAAAGGCGAACGTGCGCTGCTCAGAATATCTGGTTATCTCACGAAGTCAGAACTCCACAGTTAAATACTTCTTCTCCTCATTCGCATTTGACTGTGATTCTGAAAATACATTCTGACTGAAAGTTGTAAGCTGAAATTCAGAGAGGACAGGAAAGTAACTTTTAAGCTAAAAATTAACTGTTAGATAACTTAAGATAAACCTTACGAAGTAACTTGAGGCAAATTTAAAGTTCCTTTGCTTTTAGGAATTTTTGAATACCTTGAAGTTGAAATAAGATAATAAATTTTTTAGAGACTGTTTCAGAATTACTTTTTGGCTACAATGAAGAGGATACTGTAATTATGTTAAAATTAATTTTATTTATGTGAATTTCTGTTTTTTTATATATATATAAGTATTTTCAACCAGTAAGTATAAGTACTTTATTTTATATTCATGTTATTGTTGCAGAATATTCAAGTATATATTAGTTTTGTATAAAATTCACTTTATGTTCTTTCAGACCCCTCTACCTCCCAAAAAATAGTGGATTTTCACTGTCATGAAGTTGTCAATATGTGTATATTACATTACAGATAAGAGACTTGGAAAAATTTGTGCGAACTTTTTTTTTTCATTTTTTGAGTATCCTACATGCCATTTTTGTCTCTTTTTTCCCCTTATTTTTAAGAAAGTAATTTGTTTACTGTTAATATGGCTTTTCTGAATATTTTTTAGAAAGCATAAATTTTTTTACGTGATTTCAGGTGTCATGGCCTCCTCCTCCTCCTCCTCCTCTTCTTCTTCTTCTTCTTTTTATATATATATATATATATATATATAGGCAGATTTAGTTAATTAATTTATGATAAACCTAAGGTAGTATTTAAAATTACATTTCTTCTTGCTAGAGTTGTATAAATTTGAAATAAATATCCGTCTTTGTTGAAATGTATTGTATTTGAATTATTATAGCTTTTAACGGAAACAGATGGCCCTCCACCAACCATTGCTGAAGAATTGGCAGGTTTCTTTAATGTTAGAGGAGATAGGCATAAACCGGGTAATTTTTTTTAATATACTACTTGTATAATAATCAGTACTTACTAATATATCATCTGTAATACAAATCGTGACTCTCCTTTTCTGTTATTATTACAGCAACTCTAAAAGTTGTTCCAGATTCTTCTGAAAGATCCAAATTTTTCTTTTCATTTCTTCTCTCTCTCTCTCTCTCTCTTGTTTATGCTTATTTTTTCAGTTTGGGCAAATGAGGATTGGTTCTTTATTTTAATGTCAACTGTATATGGGTTACAGCATGACCTTGCATTAGGTCTCTCTTTATGTATATATAATCATTTTTCTGTGAGAAATTTTTGACAAATCTGTTTATTTGATGTGAATTTTTACTATATCATGCATTTACCAGATTTGCTAAGAAGTAAAATGGATAATCCACTTTCTCTCTAGCCATATGTTATTTTGCTCTAATGCTTATGCAGTGAAACTTTAGTTGATGGAAGATATGCAGTAGAAACACATTATTTTCAAACGATGACAAAATATTAGAATAAGAACTGGGAATCAATTCAAGGGAGCCTTCTCATATAGCAGAATTCATGTGGAGGCAGAGAATAAACTGGAGAAACACTGCAGAGAAAAAACATCTGATTAAAATTTGAATGCGGTTGGCAAAGAAAATTCAGTGATAAACAAAAAAACCTGTTAAGTCAATCTGCTGGTGTTGAAACTGTATGTCGTTTCTAAAAGGTAGCAAAGATTGTTATCGGCAGTGCTAGTTAACCAAGTACTGAAATAATTTTCAAGTTTTTTAATAATAAAACAGTATGAGCATACACTGTGTAAGGTTTCTATTAATAGATGCTTAACTCTCTGGGCAGCCAAGGTTTTCTCTAAGAAAGCACAAATTTCCCTATTAGAACAAATTATTTTTTTTATTTTAACGCAAAAACTCTCATGGTAATTCATACCTGGATTTGTTTTCTTTTGATATATTGCTTTAATTTCATTGACATATTTTAATATGCACGTATATATACGTTCTTACAGATATCAACATAAATATTCTAGGCCGTATATATACGGCTTTGCCGCTTAGAGGGTTAAAGTAATTATTTGGCCTTTGTTTTTGCAACTGTTGGGTAGACATGTAGTTCCTATTACAAAAACATTTTAAATGTTACTAATATACGCATTATGCTACTTTTGAATTTAGTCAATTTGATGTCAGTTTTATAAAAATTGTGAAATCAAGTTTTATATAGAGCTCCTGGTCTGTATGGTCATATTTAGCAAAAATGTACAGCAGTTCTTTTATTATTTTTATACTTGAGTGTGACAAAAATGGATCAAGATATGTAACTTTTAAAATTTACATTTTAAGATTTTTTAGTGACAAAAAGAAACTTTTATCTCTCTTAAGTAGTATTCACAGTAGATAAAACTAGCCTGAAAAAATAGCTAAATTAAAATTTATATTGTTATATTTTTCATATAGTTTAATTAATGTCATTTTTTTTTTTTTTTTTGAACTTGCATTTAATTTGCATGTAGAACTGTTATATTATTAATGGCCATCGTCTATGTTGAGTCTTAGGCAGTTAGCCACTGCAGGCCTTAACCTATAGCTGGCATGTGTTCTAAGGCAATAGCAGTAATTTTGTAATAAGCACTAACTAGTGTTGCTACAGGAGAAAAAAAAAAGGTGCATGTTTGTGCTGGTGAAGAATGATGCAGTAATAGGTAGAATTGGGAAAGTTGCTTTTCTGTGTCACCATCTAGTAACGAATGAAGACTTGAAATTATGACTAGTAATGTATTGGAATGTTAAAGCAAAGCATAGGGGTATTGGGAAATAAAATACAAAAGGGAATAAACATAATATGGTGAATACACAGTGTAAAATACATGAATAATGAGATGAAAATAATAAGCCTTTCATGTCTTGCTTTGCCCTCCCCCCCCCCCAATAAAAAAGAGTTCGAAACTGTTTTTCCTGTTGAATTAATTTCAGGATATATACAAATATTTACACAATCTATATGAGCTAGTAATCTGCGTTGTGAAAAGTCATACTTGGCTCCTTGTAGGAGTCCTGAATCATTGGATTATAATTAATTAAATTAATAATATGTGGATACTCTTAATTTGCAATAGATTTGTGGAAATTATATGCATTCATAAGCATGTGGGATGTCAAGATCTTGATTTCAATGGAATTGGGTGGATAAAAGAAACATATTTCTTTTTACTTTTAGGTGTAGTTTCAAATTGCAACCAGTTAAACTGTAGATAGACATATGCACAACATTTACTTTACTGAGGACATAAGTAACATACTTTTAAAAATTTAATTACTCTGCCAACATAATTTCAAGCTGTTAAAATGAGTTTATAATTAAGAGTGGATGGTTGTTTATGCTCATATTATGGTTGGTATTCTGAGTTTTACCATATCTCCTGAATAGAATAACAATGCATTTGTTGTTTGCATTTAATTTGTAGGTTCCATAAATTCTACCTGTGTGCTACAATGTTATGTTCAAATTGTAAATTATCGATAGCATGTTGGAAGTTTTTGGATCTGCACGTCACAACTGTACAATCAGCATATTTTGCAGTCTTGCAGTATAGAGGTTATCAATTTTACATGTTTTCAAAAATTGTGTCCCATTTATTAAATCACTATTTAAAAAGTTGGTATTTTTTCATAAGTATTCTTCAAAAGTATTTCTTTTATAATATGATTATCGTATGTTTTAATATTTGGATCTCTGGTAATTCTCCATTTCTTCCTGACTGTTTTTAACCCAGATTTTTTCCCAGGATGTAAACATGAAATTGTTTTATTTGGTTTTATTTAAGTGGTAAATTTAATAGAATTTTTTTTTAAGTGCTGTCATTTAGTTTGGTTATGGTTAACTCAATATTCAAGATGATGTTGAGTGCTGCAATTGCTATTTTTAGTTCATTTTTGAATTTGAGCCAATTGATAATCTTTTTACTTCTGAGATTAGGTGGGCTCAGACCATAGAAATTAAAACATACAGGTGGATGAGTAGAACTCGAACACTTTTAAGTTCAGCGTATGATTGATTCCCTTTTGTTAGGAGGATATCAAGAACATTTGATCTAAAATAATGCAACATAGGTTATTTATGTTATATCTAGACACAATGTTTATTGATATCAAGCTGAGGATAGAAAGATTTTTAAAACAGTGTTTCATTTTCAGATCTGTTCAAAGCCCTTGTAATGCAGGCATATTACCAAAAAATGCACTTGTTATTTTCTTGCATTGTTGAAGATGACAAGGTACAAGAGCAAATAGCAAATTGAAAAACACCTATTGCTTTACTTATTGATCCCAGAACATGCGGTAGTCACTATCAGGTGTAATGCTCGGCTTTTCGCCAACCACTGCAAACTCTGTAATTCCTAATTTCTGTCACCCGGAGCAGTTGCATCATCCCTGGTCATTATTCAGCTCTTAATTCCAAAAACTAACGAGCATTAGTTACTGGTACTGAAATATCACAAGGATATACATGCAGATTGAAGTTAATTTAGATGCAATATAAATGATACAGAAGAAAATGTAATTATATTATTCATTTCATATCGTATTTAATCTGAATGCAGTGCAAAGTCTGAGATCCGGACTCTTTGGGACTTCGGCAATCCCGGATTTGGGATTTTTCCGGATATTAGATCGTCAGTTTAAATGTAGTAAGGTGGCATGCAGAAATTATAAAATTAAAAATATGAAATCATAACTTATTAAATAACAAAGCATTTATGATCTAAAGCAGGGCTTCTTAAACTTTTTTTAGTCAAGACCCCTTTTTATCACTAAGATTTTTTTGCAGCTCCAAGACCCCATAATATTTACAGAAATTTTGTGGGACCCCATAAGCATTGCTCAAATCCAACACGCGCATGAGTGAAACCGTCAATTTTTTCACTTGTACTGTAATATACTATTGCAGTTTTAAGTGAACTTTAATTTCTTATTTTAAGACATACAACAATATGAGAATTTTAAATAAGTAACAGACGAAATGACAGCGTCACGTGCAAAGCAAATAAAATCAATGTTTATATTATATTACAAAAAGAATGCAGTGAAACGTTTTCATTTTTTCTTTGTCTGTATTGTCTTACCTTTATCAGTTTTCAGATACATTATGTAAAAATATGTGTTAATTGTAAAATTATTATAATAAGTTAAAGAAATATCAAAACTGCTAAAATTTTTGGCGACCCCCTGTACTTAATATTTATATGTTTACTTTATTATTTTACCATAAGATGTTATTAAAATTATTAAACATTTCTTTCAATGTAAGTTGTTTAAGTTGCTTTGTTTTTTGTGCTAATACACTATAGATTTAATTCTATAGACAGATATAATATCTTGTTCAGTTACTAAATTCCATTGTTCAAGTCCTGTAATTGCTGTGTCAAAAATTCCAGCTAACTTGTCAATAATTTTTTTTCTTTTTCAATAGCCTTTTTGCTACTTTCTTCACTGTCGGTAACTGTATTTTCTGGATTTAGAACCATACTACAGATTTCTCCGTCCATTGATTAATTGATGATTGGGATATTGTCATCTCAATGAAAAACTTCTTTAACTCCTCCTCTTCCCTCAATTCTGCCGTCCGGTGCAGCTCTGTTAGCTCTAACACTGGGGTTCTGGCTTTATGTGAAATAAATGAGTTATTCTTAATTCCAGTAGCACTAAATGTAATCTTTGTCGTATGAGTATCATTAGCAAAATCTATTTTTAGGATATAGAATTTTTTGCATTTAACTCAAATCTGTTATCGGATAATACTCTTTGTTATTCAATAATTAGTATTTAAAAAAAACTGTTTAGGAGTTACTGCATGAGTCATCACTCAAAGTGTGGTGTTGATAAACATGCAATGATGAAAGCAAAATTTAATAAATAATGATTCGCCAGCTGGCATCAAGGATATAAAATATTAGTTGGTGTAAAATCAACAATGTTTCTATGTAGAATCTTTCAGTTTAAGATGTATGCCAAGCAGATATGCAGTTATGGAGTCAAGTTATTTATTGATCACATAAATTTATGCTAAAATGATTATTTCTTCAATAATGAGGCATTTTATTTGTGCCGAAGTGAGGTTAAGAACTGGGACTCTCCACATATTTTATTATGGGATGAAAAACAATTAAATGTGCGTGTGTAAAGCATACCCCCCACTCCCCCCAAAAAATTGGTTGGTGGTGGCTTTGAGGTCCGTCCAGATTTTAAATCATTCCAGATATCGGACTTTGTACTGTAATATTGTAAGGACTTAATTTTCTTTATTTAACAACCAATCAAATAATGTTATTCAACTGACCAATAAAATACAAATTTTAATAACAGTATATAAAGAGAGGAACATTTGATAATATCAATATGAATTTAGAAAAACCAGTTTTTACTCATGGCCAATTATACCAAACAAAACACAATCCAAAATTCTATATTACAGTACTTTTCTATTTATTGAAACTACAAACTAGATTTTCCTTCCAAACGATCAACTGAAAGTGATACTTTACTTAAAGCTCATTGATATTTAAAACATGGACTTGGTGGGAGATTATGCACTGTCCATATTAGATTTTTTTCTTTAAATAAGTTTAAACTAATGTATGCTGTATATAAACATAAGGCTATATGTAGCATTAGGAATCGTACAAAAGTTTGGATTTCGTAATTTTTGCAAAATTGAATCTTTAATTTTAAAAATTACAAAGGTGAATATTTTTCTTACTTCAAACATTCTTGTAATTGAAAGTATATATATCTGTGACCAACAGTGGCTGTATAAGGACTTTTATAAGCATGCTGTATATTTTTAATAGATAAGTGTAAGTACAAATTAAATGTGATATATGTGGAAGAACAAGAAATTTCCCTTTCCTTAGATTCTTTCAACTTTTGTTAATTATTTATTTATTATAAACATTATTTTCATAGGTGTTGTGGAAAAACTTATGTGGTTCATTGCCAGGCATCTATCTTTTAAAGACGTCCTTGACATCCATATGGGAAAGTATGACTCTCTTGATAATATAAGAGAGCCATTGCAAGCATATGTTCGGGGAAATATTTGTGATTGGACTGGGAAGCAAACTGAAAAAGTTATCGATTTGACTTCTCAAATCTTAAATGAATGTGGTCTTCTTCAAGAGGTAGAGGTTAGTTGTTTTATCTGTTATTGCTGGTGTGATGGTAGCATACTTTTTGTTAAATGATGAGAAGAATATTTATATCTTTTCTCTTTGATTTTGTAAATACTTTTCTGATTTTATCAAATTTAAAATATGTGAAGAAAAGAGCATTCCACCATCTTATTTAAAACAAAGCTAAAGTCTACCTTATGTATATGTATAGTTTTCTGGACATTGGTTTTTTAGGAAACTTTTGCATTTCAACAAAACAAATCAAAAGTCAGGTTTATATATATAGTTTTTGAGACTTGTTTTGTGGGAAACTTTTGCATTTCATGGGACAACGTTCTTCTCCCTAAAAATGCATTACTGTGTATAAAGGCGGTATCAGTTGGTTTAATTTTTTGCTTTATCTTAAAATACATTTATTTTGGTTAAATTAATATTTATAATTTCCATTTTAAGTTTTGAAAGATACTGCTCCATAAAATATTCTTTTTGATTAATTCATGTGTGCATATTTAGATCTAAGAATTGTCTTTTAGATTCTGCAAGATACACGGTAGATTCCCATTTATTCTACCAGCTGTGAAAAATATGGTTATCAGTAAGATTACTAAATTATTTAGATATATAACACTAAATGGTTGAATTTTTCATTCAGGTTAATTACTGAAATAAAATTTCATCAGTATTGAAATACTTCATTGTAAATCTTGCATTTGCCTTCATTACGTGCAAAGAAGAAATTTTTACAACAAAATTTTTAAATTAATGCCATTTGAATTATGAGATCTGTAATCTGTAATGATTTAGTAATGCAGCCAATGTTGAATTGAATTGTTCACCGAATCCTTTCTGCATAATGTTTCCAAATGGCTACAGATATATATATTGTGGGTTTTTTTTTTTTTTTTTTTAATATGTGAGCTTGTACATAAAAAGCCTTCTAAATTCAAGACAAATGTTAATTTTATGCATATGATTTTTTGGTGTTCATAGAAAAACATTTAATTGTAAATAGCAAGTGCGAGATTTGGTCTTTGAAGTTATTTGAAAAGGCTATCCTATGGTTTCATTTACTGTTACATTACAGGTAACTAGTGCCATCTATTGAAAATAAAAGGTGATAATTGAATTAAAAATGTCAGAAACTTGCTCTTGATGCAATGTGTTGTTCCCTTATGACTACATTTTGCTGCTCATTAAGAAGACAAATCAACTGTGTAGCCATTTGGTAACATAATGCACTGTAGAGTTAACATGATTGGTAAGAAAAAAGGAATATTTAATTTTTAAAATAAACAAGCATTACTAACTGAAACAAGATGGTTTAAATAGTAGTTATGTAATAGCATGCTTTCACACATGGTAACAAAAATTTTTCAGTTACAGAGAAAAAGTATGAGTTACCTTCCCTAGTTTCAAGCTAGTTTTAGTTAATGATAGGGTTTTGTGTCTTGAATTCTGAGTATGAGTGTAACGTTCTGAACAGGGTAATTATATCCAGAGTGCTTTTGATGATCATACTGTGATAATTAATAGCATGATAGCATAAACAAGTGTAACACTATTAGTTATTGATAACCCTTGAAGTCTTTTCATCAATAGATTTAAATATTCCTTAATCTGCAAAGATGCTACTGTGACAAATATACATGTTCAAAACGGAACCTTATTAGCATACTAGGCAATTATTTTGAATCAGCTAGCCACCATATCGCATCAATTAGTGGAGCAATAAAAGTCTTCTCTTCCTCCCCCCTTTTTTAACTAATCTGAGATATTAAAATTTGCGCTAGCCCAATTTTTTATTACCCACATAAGCTCAAATAAAATTAGTCTTATTAATTAAGACACAATAAAACGCCGAATAAATACTAATTCAGAAGTCAGCTGCAAACGAATAATGTCATTTGCGGTTTTGCAGCTCACGATGGTGGTTTGGTAAAACCATCGAAACTAGTCCTGTGAAAATTTTGTAAATATAACGCTGATTTTTGTTGTTTGACTTCTGAATTAGTCTTATTAGTTTAAGTAATCATCAAATTAGCTCATATTCATATAGAACAGTTATTTAAATTTACATGTAAGTTTCAGATTTTAAATTCACAATTTTCAGTTATTGTAATTACTTTTATAGTATTTTAATTAACATGAAAAATTGTTTAAAACAATTCAATGATGTGCAGTCTTTTTATTAGAAGAAAAAGTTAAAAAAATATTATTAATCAATAACAAAAATTAATTTGCTCTGAGATCCACAGGAAATATTTAGCATTCATAACTTTGCATTATTTCTAAATTTTTTTTTTCCCCCCCCCATTTAATCAGTTTCTGCTCCCCTTCTGTTGAAGTAAAAGATAAGAAGTTAAATGTTTGCTTAATAACATAAAACACGATGCTATTGGAATCGAAAATTGTAGTTTTTTTTTAATCTGTTTATTTCTAGAATAAAATGGATATTCATGAGGGTATTGATTATAATGATGAGTTGATTGCTTTCATGAAGAACGTTGTTCGTGAGTTTTTGGATGCAGTCCTTAAGCCTCAGAGTTCAGCAGGTAAGCATTTTATAAGTTCTGTTTTGAATTTATATTATACATCTTTATAAAAAAATTTTATGCTTATGTGTGAACTTTCGTATGCAGCCTATGTCATATCAGTTTAGTTCACAGGAATATAATTTAAGTAATAATTGCTAATAAATGTTTAATTTGGGTAATATATATATTTTTTTAACCTTTATAGAAGGTTGGAGTAATTTTGGAAAGAATTTTTGGAGTACATGTGAGAAATTATTCAAGGACTTTTTGGCATTAAATGATAGATGTACTAACAATGGAAATTTTGTTGCAGAAACTGTAATTTTGGAAGCAATAGTAAGTAGAATTTGAATCCTTATTAATATTTAAAAATAACCAGCGACTCCTAATTTTTTAAGAGGGTTTTAAAAGTCCTTTTAAAAAACCTAATATTTTATATATTTTATGGAAAATATTTGAAATTTAAGAATGTGCTAATTTCTGCTTACACAAAAATGTTTAGTATTATTTATTTTTTTTTTTTTTTTCCTTGTAATGTCAGCCTAACATTAAGCAAAACCAAAAATCATGAAAAAATCTTTTAATTAAATAATTTGAAGTATATTTTTGTAGTTAGTTCACAGTCAAAAATTATAAATATGGACTCATTAAAATTTAAAAAAATAATGATTGTAATATTTTGCAGTATGAGTTCTTAGAGATCATTCTAGTAACTATTCTAGATTGACAATGAAAAAATGGTGCTTTATTGCAATGTTTAACAGCTCTCACAAGTAAACAGCTACAGTCAAAAGTTGTTAATTCGGACACCCATAATCCGGAATGATCTATAATCCGGACCTCAAAGCTAAAATCTTTCTGAACATGTGCCGCTTTGACGCATGCGCATAGGCGTTTACGCGTGTGTGCAAGACCTTTACGACTGCACATATGCGTCTGCGCAAGCGCAGAATACGTTTTCGCGTGCGCGTTTAATGTATAACGGACGGTATAAGCTAAAATTATCTAATTATCTATTTCAGTTCATGTTGATGATTGCGTTGTTCCTTAATCTTCGAATTGGATCCGGCTTATTATTTTTTGCAGACTGTAAGAGCAATTTTATAAAAAAAAGCTTGAACTTTCGATTATGTCAGATAGAATTTCCGATGCTGGAGCTCCCAAAGGATCTACAAAATGAAAGTATGTTTCGATGTCCATCAAACAAAAAGTTGAATTGCTATAAAAAATGGAAAAGGCATATCCTTTGTTTATCTAACCGTTCCGAAATCTGTTTATCAATTTTACACTCCTCTGTGCGGGGGGGGGGGATGTCGCGGCGCGCAGTGAACTGGAAGTTGATCTGTCAGCACTTATCGTTATCTTCCGGGCAGAGTTTTTATTTTATTCGGCTTATAATTCCTTATTAAATGTAGTATTTCATCTTGATGTACTCCGTCTTTGATATGATTTAAATCAAATTCCTCGGAAAAATCGATAATCCGGAATCGCCGAAGTCTCGACGAGTTCGGATTAAAGACTTTTGACTGTATAAATAGCTCAAGGGAAAAATATACATAAAGGTAATTCACCTTAAAACATTTTGCAGATTGGCAATCTCATTCATTGTGTTGTCACACAACTTGGACTAGTTAGCTAACTGAACAGACTTTGTCTTCACTGCAGCTGTATTTATAGAATTGCTGAGCCCTTTTGAGAGCTTTAGGAAAAAATAGTCTTACCGCTTCAAACATGTATGAACTGAAAATTTCCAGAATGTAGCCAATTTGGTAAAAAATCAACAAATATTGTCAAGTTAACTACAATAGTCGCTACCAAGGTTCATCAGGAGAGTTTTTGCTCATATCTCAAATTCTGGTTGAACTTTCTTTAAGACTTAAACATCAGTTGATTCAGAATTAAAAGATCTATAACAGAGTACATAAAATAAATACAAACACAGTAAGTGGCCAAAAATTTGAGTAAACAAAAGTACACTATAAATTTATTAAATAAAATGCACTAAAATATTAATAAATAAGCAATATGTAACATTATAACATTGCATAATTTAAAATACATGAAATAAATACAAATAATTTTATAAATTTATAACAGTACGAGATGAAAGTTCTTCCAGCTCTTAAAAGTAGAATATATAGGAATGTATGATAGCAAAAGTTTTCAGAGAACGTTGATATTTCAGAAATCTGATTCAGCTGCTTTTCATTGCTTTTTTGGGCTCTTGAGTGGTTACTAAAGTATATTTAGAGTACATCATTGTTGTGCTATTGCATAAAAATGTGTTTCATGTTTTGCTAGCAAATAAAGATATTTTTAAATACTTTATGGTATAAAATCAGGAGTTACTGGGATTTCGATGATCCCAGATTACAAATCATCAATTTAAATCTAGTAATATGACATAGAAATTATAAATTAAAAAATATGAAATAGTTATGAATTAGTGAAGCATTTATGATCTTAAGAGAACGAAAACTTACAGAAAAAGATCAATATTTATTTATTTTATGAAACATTTGTTTAAGTTGTTTAAGCTGTTTCTTTTCTTGTGTGTTCCAACTAAACAGCGAGTTGAAACCTTTTTCAATCTCGAAAACCTAGTTCATGTCTTTCTTCGCTATTGGTAGCAACATTTTCTGAAACTTGCCATTCATTAGTTTATTGCTGATTGGAGCATAGTCATCGCAGTGGAAACCTTCTGTTATATCATCTTCATTTATTATCAGTTCTTCAAAAATTCCATTAATAAGAAAATTTTGCCTTATAGCATTCTGAATTTCTGCCAAAATATGATTGTAGTTTTGCCTGATTTTGGTGTTGTATTTTCTTAAGCCTAAATTGAGCCAATGTTATTTTTACTTATCAAGACTGTTATAGAAGAAAGACACTGAATAAGCTTTCAGATTATATAACCTACTACAAAATTAGAAGCTTTCAAAAAATTAAAAATTCAAACTTTAATTTTGAAAAAAAAAGCTGGATCAAATTAGAAAAATAGGTAAAGTGCAGTTTATGTTAATTAAACTGATGTTCTTCGAAGTCATCTCTTTCTCTTTTCCCCATTGCTATGCCACAAAAGAAAAATGTTAAAAAAGATATCCCATTCCATGCAAATGTCTTGGGGCATCTCTTATTGTTTAGGTCAGATAGAAAAATGTTACCGCCCACTTTCCCACAATCACTCAAAGTCTAAAAGCATTGAAGCTAACATCAATCAATATATTGCATTGGCCATGGTTTGATTCCCTAGGCAGCAGGGCTTTAAAAGTGACTTCCTGAGATCTTTAGTTAGTAGAGTGATTACTATTACAGTATGTGTTTATATATTTATATTTCTGTACTGCCTATCAAATTTTAATGAGAGTGAAGGGAGTTCTTAATTTCGTTTTGTATGTTCGAAATAGGTTTTTTTAACTACATCTTAGCTCATTACATTTTCTGTTTAAAGAATCACATTTAAATTTTAAAAAATTTTCACTGAAGTTTTGCTTTGTCACTTTTGTTTTTCACATTCATTTTCATTTCTTTTAAAGGGATAGAATTCTCTTTATTTAAGATTTTTCTAATGCTTATAATTTAAAAAAAAAAATGTCCCTTACTTTGGGGAAGAGCCAAAATTTTCGAATGAAGTATTATAATTTAAATACATTGAAATGGTTCATCGGCTAATTCTGGATACAGAAAAGCAAGGATTTTTGTAGAAGAGAGATTTCAGTTAATTGCAAGGTTCCTCCCCCCTGAGGAAGTGACATTGAGATTGATTGAGTTCCTCTTCTGTTTTTGTTCATTTTTCTTTTAATTTCATAATTTTTGAAAAGGGGTTTTGTTGTTTGAAATGTTTTGGTTTTAAAATTGTTTAATTTATTATTGCATTTCTTATGATTATTTGAAATTTATTAATTATGAATTTCAATTTCCGGTCTTGTGAAATATTAGTTCAAAGTTTACTCTGTTTAATAATATACCGTATTTATGCGAATCTAATGCGCATCCCCATTTTAAAACTTTAAATAATAAAAAAATTGTTTGTTGGCGTATGTAATGCGCATCAATGGTATGAGGAATTTATTGAATCTTATTTTATACAACAATGAATATGTATGTGAACTATCAATCAATGGTATGATAATTTTATTTAAATTTAGATACCATATTTTATACAAAATGGATTTATACATAAGGTAACAGAACATAGAATTAATCTGTTAGTGGGCTATTGTTATGTGAAACAATCATTGTTAATTACCACTACCGTATATACGGTAACTATCGTAAAATATGAACATGAAATAAATCGTAACATTTATATCTAGCTAACAGTTTCTACAATCAGTGATTAATAGTAAACGTCTTTATTCACTAATGTTTTCATCACTGGAACCATCGCAGTCTCTTGGTCAGAAGCAGATTCATTTCTTCTTTCTGTTGGCTTTAGTTTTCCCACATGCAAATTTTGATCGGAGGTCGATCGGCGGTAAGCTAACGTAGTTGCCGCTGATTGGCCGATGACGTCAAGATCGGCGGGTTGGCCGAGTATAATATATATGTACGCCGGTATCGGCGAATATTGTTCTTCTTGTTCTCTTGTGTGATTATCAGTTAGCATTATGCTAGTTTGCTTTCAATCAAATGATTTTAAATGTAAAGGCTACAGTGTTAGCTCTTTTATTTTATTTATGGAATAAAGCATGAATTTTATTTAGTTTAGTCTTAGCTTTATTTAAGGAAAGCAAAATATGCTTTGCCTTTATCACCACTGCCAACAGGGTTATGGGCCCAGCGCCAACAGCTAATCAGTCATCCAGTTCAACTCAGCATTGAAGGAATGTAGGTGAAGAGGGCCGTTATCCACGAAAAGAAGCTGACCTGTCTTAGAAGTTTGTTCAAGTTGTTGTGCTCACACTTAATTGAAGATGTCATTACTACCTGAAGGTTTTGAGTTGTTAAACCATGACAACTGGGATCGATGGAAAGTCGACATGAAAATGCTGTTACTGGATAGAAATTGTTGGAGCTTCATAGAGGACAAAGAAGAAGAATTAGATAAAAGTGCAAACAAGGCGTGAAAAGCAGGAGTTCACACTGAGAGAGAACAGAGCCTTCACTACATTATATTACGGAATTAAAGCTGAGTTCAGGCCGCTGATACAAGAATGTTCAAGTGGTAAAGAAGCGTGGGAAGTTCTACAGAAGCAATTCGAACTCAAAACAAGAGCAAGGATAATTCAGTTACTGGATGAATTTTTTAGTATTAGATATACGCCAAATGAAGAAATAGGATTATTCATCGCAAGAATAAGAATGACTGCAAAGAAGTTGGCTGAAGCTGGTCACAACTTGGCAGATCTTTTTAAAGGATTCCAGGCAATAAGGAGATTACCCCAGGAATACTCCGGCATTGTACAATTGATCTATAGGTGGAAGGACGAAGATTTTTACGCTGGAAAGAATTGCTGAAGAGCTGGTAAGGGAAGAAAGCCGACTTCGCCAGGTAATTGCCGATTTAGAAGACAGCAAGGTAAGCGTGTTTAATACTATTAGTTTAAACGCAGGGAAAGATAAAGTTGAAAATAAAACTAAATCTAAGAAAAAAATGGGGAATATGAGAATAGGACCTTGTTTCAGATGTCATAAATTTGGGCACTTAATTGCTCAATGTAAAGAAAATGTAAGTAAAAATCAGAAGTTTAAAATAGACGATAAAAATGGACAGTTTAAAGATAAAGAATTAATGTTAGTAGAAAATTATGTAACAACTACAGATAAAGGAGGTAACGCAGATAAATTTAATTGGGTCGTAGATACTGCAGCTACAACTCATTTCTGTAATAATAGAAATTTAATGACAAATTTCAAAGAAATAAACGATATACGTATGTCTTTAGCTGTAGGAAATTGTGAAAGTAAAGTACTAGGAAAGGGTACTGTCAAATTTGCAGTAAAAGTAGGCAATCGAATAAATTGGATTGAGTTAGATAATGTGTTATATAATCCAAATCTAAGAAGAAATTTATTATCGGGAGCAAGGTTAGAAAAGGCTGGTGCTCATTTTGTGATTTCAAAAGGGAAGATGTGGATATACTTTAATAATTGGGATAGATTATGCTACGCTAAACGATATGACGGACTTTATCACGTAAAACCATTTAGATATGCAACAGGTAAAAGGGAAGCTGGTTACGGTACAGAAATTGGAAAGTTAAATAAAGTAGACGATGCAATGCTATGGCATCGGAGATTTAGCCACGTAAATTTTGATTATATTAAGAAAACTAGTAAGAATCAAAGCGTGAAAGGGTTACCAGAAATTGAAAAACCAATAGAGAGGTGTGAATCGTGTATTATTGCTAAATCTAGTAGAATAACTCTTAAAACTATTCTGAAGAGATCGGATAAACCATTGCAGTTGGTTTATTTAGACATTTGTGGCCCACTACCAGTTCCATCTAAGGGTGGGAGTAAATATTTTCTTGCTATTGTAGATGACTATATAATCTTGTTCTTCTTGTTCTCTTGTGTGATTATCAGTTAGCATTATGCTAGTTTGCTTTCAATCAAATGATTGTAAATGTAAAGGCTACAGTGTTAGCTCTTTTATTTTATTTACGGAATAAAGCAGGAATTTTATTTAGTTAAGTCTTAGCTTTATTTAAGGAAAGCAAAATATGCTTTGCCTTTATCACCACTGCCAACACTTTCCTCATCGTCATCCTCGGCGTTCCAGAGCACGTCATCTTTACTGCTATTCAATTAATTTGAAATGCACCATTTCTTGAAAGATTTCACAATCATTGGTGCTTCGATGCTTTTCCAGGCAGCAGAAACCCAGTGTGCAATAATGTGCGATGCAGCACGCTTAATTTTTCCTGTCGGGGTCAATTCACGGTTTGGCTCACAAAGCCATCTTTCATTTTTCGTACTCCGCCTGAACGTACCCCTTAAAAGGTTTATTTATACTAACGTCCAGGGGTTGTAACACAGACGTCATTCCTCCAGGAATGATAACAAGATCACTGCCTAGGCTGTGCATCTTTGTTTTTACGTCGTCGGTGAGATGACCACGAAATGCGTCTAGACAAAGCATTGATGCTGGATTGGAGAGCCCACCGGGATGGCGTTTCCATACATTTCAGAACCAATCAAGCATTAATGATTCCGTCATTCACCCCTTCTCTTGGTTTTGAATCAGGACATCATCTGGGAACAGCTTTTTATTCTTGGGGGTTTTAGGGCATGTTTTCCGTTTGAAGATTAAGAAAGGGGGAAGTTTGCACCCATCTGCTGTTATTGCCAGCATCGCTGTTACGTGTTGTTTTTCACATCCCGAAGTTTTGATAGCTTCCTTAATCCCCTTCTCCATAATGGTGTACTTACGAGGCATATCAAACCAAATTGGCGTCTCGTCAGCATTGCCAATTTGCCCCATTGAAAAATTCTTTTCCTTCCGAAGTGTGATGACATACCGCTGAAATGCTAGTAGTTTTCCCTCAAAATCTGCAGGAAGCTTTTGGCATATTGTTGTACGGTGTCTTACAGATAAGCACATCCGCTTCATAAACCGATCCACCCATCCACGGCTAGCCTTAAACTCTTGTTTCGGTATTCCAAGAACATCAGCCTCCTCTTTTGCTTTATTTCGTATGGTGTCACTAGTTACAGGTTGCCCATTCTTCCTCCTTTCACGTACAAATTCCAAAATGTTTTCTTCAATTTTAGGGTGTCTTCCTTTGCGAGGGCCAGTGAATTTCTTTTTACTAGCTTTAGTTGCAAACAGTGCCAATTTCTGTTGCCGCCACAAGCGAACATTTCTCTCAGCTAAGTTGAACTCTCTCCCTGCCTTTTGCAGTTTGTATCCTCTATGCAATAATGTGTCAACGATAAATGTAACGGTAAATGTAGTCGAGAAATACAGTAATCCCTTGTTACGATTTAAATTTGGTTGACTTCATTGGCGAACTTTGCACTCGAATCTAATGCGCAACCCAATTTTGAATACTACTACATTTGGCCAAAAACGATGCGCATTAGATTCGCGTAAATACGGTATTTAAATTGAAAAGGTAGTGTACTTCATTGGTGATTCCTCTGCATGTTTCAGCATTCTTACAGTAAACATACAAATCTACAGATATTTCATTTTATATTAATTATTATTCTAGGATGTATATTCTGTTGTCTTTTAATTTTGATTTTATATGGGTAGCTTGTATAAAGAATTTATTTATCCATAGCTTTTTGATATGCTGAATTTTAACTTAAAAATGCACCTCAGTATTGATTTGTTTAGCATCTCTGCAACTAGCAAGCTTGTTTACATTGGCAGTGAATAGAGATTCTCGCACTGCTCCTTTCTTTTAAAGTCCTTGCAGAGATATTTCTGGCATTAAAGTTGGAAAAATATAGGATAGGAATAAAGAGTTAAAACACAGAGGTGTTTTTTTTTTTTTTTTTTTTAATTCAAAATGTCAGTCTTAGCACTTTTGATAAACTGCTAGCTTTATTAACAATCCAGTTGCTCATGTATGGAACATAACTGTAAAACTGCTGTAGAGATTTAATTTAGAAGAAACCCATACTGCTTGGGTTTTTAAAGTTTACTTTTGTTTCATCTCTTATTTAAAAGTATAAAAATTACTTTAAAATAATTGTGCTTATGGATATATAATTTTATTTCTAACATAAAACACTTTAATATGTTTTTAAAAAAGAAGAATCTATTTCGTAAAGAAATTTCTTATCATTTATTCACATTCTGACATTTTCTTTGTTATATAAATATATAACAAAGAAAATAGTTAAAAATAAAATAGTTTTGTATTCTTGTTTATCTTCTATCTTGCTTATTAGGAATTATTAAGGAACAATTTAATTAGTTATTTATAAGCAAAACAGCTGAACTTGTAAAAATTAGAAAGAAAGAAAAAAAAAAAAAAAAAAAAAAAACATATAAAGAAAATTCAACAAAATTTGAGAAATTGTCTAATCTACACAACCTCTGGTCCCATGGTATTCAAAGTGTCAGAATTCTACTTTATATTTTGTGTTTATTTTGTTGTGCATTTTAATTTTGAACATTTCTGTGTATTGTTGAAATAAAATATGTTTGTAGTTCTCAAGATGTGATTTCTAAATCATTTGACATGCTTCATTTAAACCTTCTCTTAAGGTGGCTCAGTGTGATGGCTTATCTGATCGTTTGAGTCTGTTAATTCAGAGCTTATCTACAAGAATAATACGTGATTTGTTTCATAATAAACATCAGGAAACACAATCATGTGATAATGGTGCAGCTAAAAATCAGATCCCTAATGCTGCAACTGGAAGTGCATCTGTTGAAAAGAAAACATCTTCAGCCAGAGGAAATCTTCCATCAGATTCTTCATTCAAGCAAGTAAAAAGAAATGTAAGCCATTTTTTAATTGATAAGTTTTCATTAAATGTTATCTAGGCTTTAATTTTTAAAGTTTTGTTTTTCAAAGTGTATAATTTTTTTATGCAAGAGTTGGTTGCATTTAAAATTATTTCATTTAGTGCGTAAATGTTTTAATCGTTGTTATTATTAATGAGGATTTTTATTCTCACTATTACATAAGTGTTAGTTCTGGTTGGAAGAGAATTAATATTCTAGTCATTTTTTCCCCTTTCTGGCTATCAGAAAATTGATTACAATCTGGTTCTGTTCAAAATTAATTGCATTGCAGTTGCAAATTATGAATGAACTGTGAACATTTAGTACTTTTAAGCTGTAAATATTTTGATTTCTTATCTTGAATTGGTGTTGAATGATATTTTTAATATTATGGATATTAAAACATAATACATCATTATTACTGGCTGACAATATTAATCAACCTCTCAATCAAATGGCATTCTTGTTTGTTGTTTTCTCTTTGTACTTCCAGAGGATGCAGTCATTCTATAGTGTTTTGTCATCTAACAAGTATTCTATCACATATAGGTTAATAATTTATTGCACACCCCTTGATTGGAGGGTCCTCAGTGCAGTCTTTGTGTAGGTAAATAATCATATGGCAAGAGACAGCATTGTGGTGTGGTTTAATAATATGAATCAATTCAATCTGTTGTTAAAGATCTTGTATAAAAAGTAATTTAGTTAGTTAATGAGAAATTTTTAATTGTATTTTAGGCGACTTCTCCAGAAGAAAGTTCAGTTTGCAACAAAAAAGGAAAAGAGCTGTCATCAAATGAAGTTTCAGAAAATAGGGTTTCATCTACTCTACCTTTAATTGCTCGTTTGGAAGAACGAAGCTCTGCACTTCTCCGAAATGCAAATCATGGGCTGGCTGAAGTTGTCATTGGCTCAGAAGCATGGCACAATACTGTTCCACGTGTAAGTTTTTTTTTTTTTGGGGGGGGGGGGCGAGCGAATGCATGCACATATTGTATTAGTTTTTAAGCTTACTTACTGTATTTGATGTATTTGCAGTAGATTTTTTCGATAAATAATGGTAATGAGTTTTTTTCTTTTATTCTGATAAAAAGTTATTTTACAAAGTTTTTTTTTTTTTTTGTACTATCTGCTGATTAATTGCTAAGTATCATTTTTAATGATATGTTACTGTCATTAATCCTTCCCTCCTCCAAAATAAAGCAGAGCTTTGAAGAATCATTATTACGTTCAGCTAATTAATTAACCTTGGTGAAAATTTTTTTCTCATAAAGGAAAAAAAAAATTTAAAATGGCATCTGGTTAAATACGAGGGCTATCCAGAAAGTATATTACGTTTTGGAATAAAAAAATAAACAAAGTATAGGAAACAAATTTTATTATATACAGATGAAAGCCACACTCAAATACTACTTTTCTACATAGTCACCATACAAATTAAGGCATTTATCGTAGCGATGTACGAGCTTGGAAATTCCTTCGTTGAAAAATTCGGCCGCCTGCGCCTTCAACCACTTCGTTACCTCTTGCAGCTGTGCGTCGTCATCAAAACGCTGCATAGCCATCTTGCACAAAACTTGTGGTAACCAAGCTTTTCGCTGATGATTTCGTGCAACAAACTTCGCGAAATTTGTGGAAAACTCAAAGAAAGTTCCGTTATTGTGAAATTTCGATTTTCACGGACTTTAGCATCGACTTTTTCGAGAAGTTCGGCGGTCACTATGCTGGGTCTCCCACTTCGATCTTCGTCGTGAACATTGGTTCGGCCATTTTGAAATCTTATGACCCACTGACGCACTCCACCTTCAGTGATAATGTTGTCCCCATACACTTCACGAAGCTGCCGATAGATTTCTATCGGTTTACAGTTTTTTGCAGTCAGAAACCTTATTACTGAGCGCACCTCGCAGCTCGCGGGATTTTCAATTAACGCAGACATTTCAAACCGTCACAGTATCTGAACGGAGCACAGCACGAATCTCTCTACGGCTAGATGCAGACTGAGCTGCGCAACGCTCTGACCCCAAGATGGCCGCGCTAGCCCCGCCCCTAGCGGACACAGACGGAAACGTAATCTACTTCCTGGATGGCCCTCGTATATCAAGATTATTATTATTTTATAAGTTGTAAATTAAAGCTGTTGCATTTCTGTTTTCACATTTTGTTATTAATATGAAAATCATTTGGTTAGCTTTAATATATATGTATTAGAAAATTATTGTGTGTGGAAAATATTGGAAGAGAAAGGTATAATTTAATCTCATTAAATGATTTCTCTTAAACATAAACTCCTAATATGCTTTGTGATACATACTTATTAAAAGTATAATGAATAATAATTCAATAACTGTTGTTAATTTATATTGCTGCTGCTTGGAATGATTAAGTAGGGAGGCATCCAATGGGAAGTTATTCTTTTAGTTTATCATGGGAAATGATGGTTCTAAGATACTATTTTAACACCTTTATAAGTGTAACTTAGATTTTGATTTAAAAAAGTATATACTAACTGACAAAATTTATAAATGTATTTTTTATTTATAAATAAATTTCATTATTAAATGAAAGGGAACCATGTTAAAAATTTAATGTCAGCAAAGTTCAGTATGATTTTGTTTGTACATTTATCAATCTTAAAAGCATTAGCAGGAAAGCATTCTTTTAATAAATAAAGTGAAATGAATTTTAAATTAAGACAGTTGAATTTCCATGCAGAAACTTATCATTTGTGCTGATGTGTGAATGTTAGAAATTCCTTATGCACATCAAGAAAATTTAATAATTATTTTCTTTTCAAGAAATGTAGTGCAGTAAACAAAGTTGTAAAATGGGAACCAGATTTTTTTTAAATAACAAAATAATAATAATAAATAAAGTAAAAATAATTACTTATGATTTTTTAAAAATATATAGTCAGTTTATAATACCTGGAATACTATCCTGCTGTTTTCATTTACATATGTAACTTGTATGTGCATTGAAATCTTTCTTGGTTATCATAGTGTATAGGTGACTACATCTTAAAGTAACCATTATTTTAAGAACATGAATAAACATTGATACTGAAGAATACTAGTAAATTTTTAAAGCAAGCAGCTCTAAAGTCTTCCAGAACTAAGGTGGTCATCTTTAAGAAATTTCTTTTTATTTACCAGATTTTCCTAATTTTAAAATGACTATAAGCTTGAGCCAAATTTTACTTTGCTTCAGCCTTCCCTGTATTTTATTGAAAAGTTTGTCATGAGAATCTGGAAAATTTAATCTGTCAAGATCACTGAAGTATAATCAGTTTTCTGATCTACAGTTGTACTGAAAATCATAAACTTATTTTAGATTAAAGAGTTCATGTAATAACTTAAGTTATTCATTGTTGTGACCAATTCTCGTGATCTGAATGTACTCTAAATCAGATTGGCAAATTTTTTATGACAAAGACCTTGACCACGTAATGGGTAGAGTACGAATTCTCTCAACTTCACTCAAGTTGTTATGGAGAACACTCTAGTGACAGATCCAAATATCTCCTACCCTTTCTTTCCACCGGTCTAGAAGTTAGTGATGCTGATTGGCTTACCGATTTGCCTAAGTTCGAATTTTTCAGAAGCCATAGGTGTTTGTCTGGCTGTGCAGCAAAAGGTTACTCAAAATACTGAGCAAGCCTAAAGTGATTAGCAGTAGAGGACCCCTTCCCGGTGTTCTCTTAACGGAATTGATGCAAAGCTTAAGACTTAGCAAGGCAACATAAAACATCTAATATACTTTCAGGAATGAATAAGCAGGAATGCTTCTTGAAGCAATGCCAATGCCAGTACGTCTTGCTTCAACCTGTACTCCTTTCCCTACCAACTTCTTGAGGATCAAATTATCTGTAAAATTTATTAATTGGTTGTAAATAACCTTTTATAGCTGAAACCATAACACTTTCTGTGGGCAGTGTGGTTTATACGGGGATTGTAAATTAAATAGTGTCAACTTAACCTTGAAACTCGCAAAAGGGTGGGCATGCGCAAATAGATATGGGAACGGTGAGGTGGCGCTGTTGTCAATGTGTAGAGTGCAAAAACAGTCGATCTGCTTAGAAGGGTAGTTGTTGTGTTGCGTTAAAGTGAGGAGTTCGTTTCCATCGCTCTAAAACATGTTTTCAAAAGGTGATCAGCGGTCGTGGCTTAAAATGGAGGTTGCACGTGGCAGAAATGCAACAGAATGCTATCGAGGATTAGTGGAAGCCTGTGGCACAAATGCTTTACAGTATATGGCAGTAGCACGATGGGTTCAAGCATTTCGTTTGGGTCAGAATGAGACTGTGGATTTGCAAAGCACAGGTCGGCCCTCCATTCCTCAAGAGCAGATTGACATCCTGAGCAGTCTCCTTACCATAGACCGCCGGACTGTCAGAGAATTATCCTTAGAGGTTGGTCTGAGTCATCAAACAGTGTAGCGCTTAATGAAGAAGAATCTCTCAACATGAGGAAAATTGCTTCCCGCTGGGTTCCACATTGTCTAACCGAAGTACAGAAATGGAACCGGTATGCACTGGCTGGCACCCACTTGGAGAGATACTGCAATGAAGGAGACGCATTCTGCAGCATATTGTCGCCATTGATGAGATGTGGGCACGAGCCTATGAGCCTGAATTAAAGCGTCATTCAAATGAATGGCATCACCAAGGTTCTCCACTTCCACAGAAATTTCGACAGGAACCAAGTCAGGTGAATGTTATGCTGATTATGGCATACCACTAAGATGGTGTGATTCTTATACATGCTGTACCTGAAGGACAAACTGTCAACGCAGATTACTATTGCCGATTTCTGCAGCACCATCAGTGTGCGGCTATGCGCCACAAACGTCCACGTATATGGCACAACAATCTCCCTATCATATTGCATGACAACGCTCATTGCCATGTCGCAAACAATGTCACTCTCCTTTTGTGACGGTGGCAGTGGGAAATCCTGTAACACCCTCCCTACTCATGCGACATGAGTCCTTGTAACTTCAATCTGTTTCCGAAGTTGAAGGAACCCCTTCGAGGTCACCAATTCCATGACGTTTCATCTGCACTCCACACAGTAGGGCGCTCGATCGCTCACATCAACAATCAACACCTTGCCACTGGTCTACAACGGCTTCCCGACATTTGGCAAAAAGGTTATAAGCTTTGCTGGTGATTACATAGAAGGAATGTAATGCAATTGTACTTGTTCATTAAAAATTGATTTATACCTATGTGGCCATTACTTAATTTACAGCCCTCGTAGAAGATATGTAAAATGCTGAGTCCTTAAATTTATACATATTATAAATCATAATTTTTTTAAATATTAATTTAGAATATCCAAACTTCAGCATATGTAGAACTTTTTTTATTAACTTTGAATTTATTTTATACTAGTTTACCAAAGGAATTTTGTATTTGGCAGTGAAAGATTTATGGAATCATACTTCGAACAAATCTATATTAAGCACTTTGTGTAATTAAAGTTAAGTCTTGATTAGATTTTATATGTTTAACTAATGCATTTTGAAAATGTGCTAATGTAATTTATTGATATTGTTCCTTTACAAAGATGTCTTGCAGTATTATTAGTGTATTTAAATCCAGAAATTCAATTCAAATAAGTAAAGTATATATCTAAAAATTAATATATAGAAATAATGAATATAATATATAGAATAATAATATTCTGATGGCCATTAAAATTGCAACAGCAGGAAGGAACAATCTGATGAACATCAAAATCACATGAAAGAATGCGATCACATGATGGGAGAAACAACATCTAAAGCACTGCATAAAAGAAAAGTTGTGTAGTGGATTTCTCATTTGGAAAGTGCTTTGTAAGGTCAGAGGTTGCTCCGAATGTAGTGCAGGGGTGTTTGTGCTCCGGGGAAACTCCGGAATTCCGGGGATTTTGAACTTCGATACCCGGAAATTCCGG